AGGTGAATGCATCAGCTTCTTTGCAAAATATGGTCAGATGAAGGCATGCATGCGCTGTGAGTTCGGCTTTTTCCAGACTGGATAAGGAAGCGAAGAATATAGGTCTAGTGGTGAACAAGGGTAAGTCGAAATATCTTTGACTCATGTTGGAAGTAACGGGTACTTCTCTCATGACTTCTGTCGCGACTGCACAGATATAAACGAGGAGGAACCGGTGGAGCACTACCTCTACCACTGCCTCGCAAATAAAGCGTCAGCAAGTGTTAATAATTTCGAATGTTTGGTTAAACAAACCAAGTGGTTTCAACATCTAGAAAGGTGAGTGGAAACAAGAGGAGTCGGGCTAACAAGCATAAGTTCGCTCCAGCAAGGGACTCCGTGATTGAGCAACCTGTTTAACTAACTATTGATTATCGCCACATCAACTGTGAAGAGCTTTTCCACATTACACTGCGGGCAAAAAGACCAATAAAGTCCATTTTTTATACTTTTAAAACTTGAAATAATTGAATGTGTTTTCCAATATTCATATTTAGGAGAAGATAAAACAGTACAATTTTGTTAAGCGAGCGTATGAAATTGCTGCAAACAAAGTCATCTTATCAAATGCAGGTTTGACCTATCGAAATACTATCGTGCAAATTACTAAACTTTGCTTGTATGTTGCGGCTTTTTCTTTCAAATTAATATTGTTTGGAAATATGACAAATAATCGTACAGGTATGTAGAATAAACGTTAAGTGTTAATTTCAGTACGTTCTGTATGTTTTCTTGTGTATCGTAAATTATTGTTAGAGTATTTTTGGCAGCTAAAATTTAACAAATGTAATTGTGTTCCGTGGAGTGCCGCATCAAGAGATATTTGCCTAAATGCAACCATATGATGTCAGGATTAAAAGTTAATCACACAAGGTGGCATTGTTGGGTAGAACAATTGAAAAACTCACATGCCGGAATGAGCTTAAAACATAAATTAGCAAGTAATCTTGCGTCGAACAGAGACTTTTTTCTTTGGTTAAAAGTCGTCAAGGAAGAAAAGAACTGGAAATCGAAAATCTCAGATGATTGTTACCCTTACCCCTGGAGAAGCATTGGAACTCTTGTTGGAAAATGGGCTTACCAAACAGCAGTATATCACTATGCATCATCTCAATTAACCTCGTGCGGGTACTGCATCGAATACTTTCAAGACTGGAGTGCTTTCATCCATTCGGACGACATGGCCTAGCCAGCGTAGCCGCTGTCTCTTCATTTGCTGAATTATGTCAATATCATCGTATAGCTTATCGTTCCATCATCTGCGAAATTCGCCGTTGCCAATGCGCAAAGCACCGTAAATCGTTCGCAGACTTCCATCAGCTGTTGCCGTCGTCCACGCCTCTGCGCCATATAGTAGAACGGGTATGATGAGCGACTTGTAGAGTTTGGTTTCGTTCTTATGTACAATATATTATATATACGAGAAGTACGGATGAAGATTGGCCGTTAAAAAAGAGTCAAAATAAATTTGATATTCAAACGAGTCGGTTGTATTTATTCCTGTGTGCACCTACACTAATTATTTGGAATAACAGTGCTCCACAATTCTAAGGCTCTGCAGGCCACTTAAAATTGTTATGAAAAGGAAAACTTAAAGAAAATATTCAGAGAAAACGAATATTTCTGGTCTAAAGGATTTCATATATACGAAAAATAGCAAAACAATTGTCATTATCTTTAAACCACTGATGGAACTTATTGATGGAAAAGTACTTAACTCTTTAACTGGTACGTCATCATCTCAGTGCTGCCCAATATGTGGGGTTAAACCAAAAGATCTCCTCGAAACAACTGATTTTTAATCCGAATGTTTTAAGTCAAGACCTGCGGCTCTGAAATATGTTGTCAGTAAAATGCATGCATGGATTCGATTTTTTAATTTGTGCTAAACATATCCTATAGACCTGAAGTTCAAAAGTGGCATATTGCTCAGGCTAATAAAATCAAATTCATGACTTGGAAAAAGGAAATGCGGGAAATTATGTGATGAAAAATGGGGTTGGATGTAAGTATTCCCAAGTATACGGCTAGAAGAGCATTCGTGAATTGCCAGTTCTTTTCATCAATTATAAGATTTCATCAAAATATTTTATACAATATGTATGTAGTTTTAATCACTATTTCATGGGAGCATTCCACTGATGTTGATAAATTCAAAGTATTATTATATGTTAATACTTATCGTATGGTATACTATGTTACCGACGGTAGATAAAATATTAGTACATGGCTGGCAAATAATAAACTCGCCTTTGGTTCCGGTTGTATGTTTAGAGAAAATTCTCTAGAAGCAAGAAATAAGTACTACAAAAACGATAGAAAATCACATGTACGAAAAAACTGACGCTTAAACAATAGGGCCAATGTTTTTTATAGAGCTATGGATTCTTCTGAATAATTATATATTCAAAGTTTTTGGGTCAATTTTAAAATGTCTAGCTTCTAGCTTTAAAATCATGTGATACAACTAAATCACATTGCCTCTAAAGCTCCTGTACAAGTGTTCCTTTCGATATTTAAGGATTTTTTATCACTTTCCACTCTTTCCTTCGAGTCTGCCCTCGTTAAAAACGAGAGCAAACTACTATAGGAAAACACACTGTGTAAAATTTTTTAATAGCATCAAAAATGTGTAACCTAAGTTTTTGATTTTCTTTCGTTACATGTTTAATGTGATATAAAAGTACATATTTTTAAGTGATTTAGATTAAAATATTTCTTTAAACTAAACAGATGTATGTAAATGATTTCCTCATTTCAAATAAAAGTTTTAAAATTTTTAGTGTTTCTTCACTTACTGTATTTATATGTACGACTATATATACACTGGTAAGCATATGTGAGTGCAAGTTGACCATATTTTTACTAAAAGTGTCATAAAGTGATAATTAATGAACGAAGTTTTAAGAAATTTTCAGAAGTTATTTATTATTATATTAGGAAAAGAATGACGTATTCAATATCATAAAAAAAAAATAATCAACATAATTTTATACAAAAACTCAATAACTCAGTTTTGCACTTTTTGAATTAGTGAAATCAAAATAAGCCTGACCCTTCACATTAACTCTAAATTTACCGTTATATTGGGCTTATAGCTTGTCATTTATGCTGAGGTTTTAGTTTTGAGAAGTGAGGTGAAGATTTATTGTTTGAATCAGGAAAGTAAGTAAATAATGAAGAACATTAGGAAAATCAACAAGGACACCGAAAATAGTATTGTGGCTACGACTAAAAGTAAGGAAATTAAAAGAGAAACAACGCACCATGCTTACTAGAAAAAAACGATAAAATGTATCCGAGAACGACCTCCAGTTCTAGATTGTTAAAAGACTCAGATGCGCGTTTAATGGTATAGGAAATGAAAAATAAATAATATGGACCCCGACCGTCCAAATTGGTTTAGTCACAGCAGTAAAAAAAAAAGCTCTGTTCAATAAGAACTTCAAGGCGCGTCAAAAATAAAAAATTCTGCAAAGCGCATGAGAACTGGACCACAGAGGACTGGAAACATGTTATTTGGGCTGATGAAACAAAAATTTACTTTACTTCGTGGAGTTTGGGACCAATTGTAAGATAATTTAATAATGAGGAAGGAAAACTACCTCCGAATTTTTAAAAGCCATTTACCCGATTTTTTAGACCACAGCGCTTAACCCGAAGGTGAAGTAATTTCCAGCAAGACTGTTACCCCAAACACACGGCGAAGACCGTGCAAAATTGGAGATCTGCGCAAAAATTTCAGGTAATGAAATGGCCTGCGCAAAGTCCAGACTTTAATTCCATTGAAAATTTGTAGTCAATATGTGAGGTCAGAATGTGAAAATATTCCAAGTGAATTTACAGAAATTTTGGTTGAAAGTATGCCGCGGCGAGTGAAAAACATTATTAATAACAAGATATAGTGGATATCGTACAATATTAGTCATTTAAATTGAAGTGTTTTTGTATTAAATTGTGTTGATTATATTTTTTTATTGTAATATTGAAAACGTAGTTCTTTCATGAATTTTCGTTCATAATTTATCATTTTATGACACTTTTAGTAAAAATATCAACTTGCGTTCACTTATTATAATTGACGCTTGTGGTTTTTCGTCTTAATATTTAGAATCCGTAAATGAAGACCAAAGCAACGTAAAAAGAATGATCACATACTATTGTTTGCTCTTAAACGAGATCAAGTCAAAAATATTACTTTACTTAAGTATCTTTTTTCATGATCAGACAATCAGACACTCTGGTTAATATAAAAAATGTAATCTAAATTAATCTAATAGCGTAGATAACCATTTTAGCTTTGACGTTTGGTTTCCGGGTCGTATTGAAAAAACCACAATTTTTTATAATTTCCGTAGCTATTTCGCCCAATTCGTGACGAGCACCACGAACACACGTTTACACAACACGATACAGTAGGCGAACTAAACAAGATGGCAAATATATTAATGGAAAGGGGAAGGATGTCGGGAGAAGGGAAAGGCAATTTCAAGGTGGCGGGTGGCCACAATCGCGGCAATATAATCAATATCAATACTTAATTGTCACACCTCGTATAAGATCTTCAACATTATACTATTATATACTAGGATGAAAGATTAAAGCCACCGCCAATGCGCTGTTTGGATTTATCAGTGTGGTTTTGGACCTGCACATCCTCTATCGAAAAATTTCGGAAAATATACACTTCTTTTTCATGCGACTTCTTCAACCTAATACTGGCTGTATAAATAGAAAAGCTCTAAGAGCGTAGAACGATGATATTGAAGCAATTTGAATAAATATTTTTTTAAATTTGTTAAATAACTCTGTTATGAATATATTTTTCCTTATAGAAACTTAGCTTACAAGATAAATAAAAAAAATCACATAAAAATAAGTAAAACATAGATTAAAGTTAGAACAAATTTGGTAAACGTTAAAATGTTATGTTGTTTCTTGTATCGTACATGTAGTCTTACCTGAAGTTGCGCAAGCTGATTCATATTTTGTATTTTAGTTAGCTCCAACATTTCTTGCATAAACTGCAGACCCATCTCCCCGTCATCAGAGCTCTTTGCCTGTGAAATAAATAAAGATGAAATTAGATATACAAGTATTTAATTTAATTTGTTAGATTATTTTATTAGTATGTTCGGGTCGACACTTCAATTTAACAACTGATTATTAACTTATGATCACGTTTACACTATGTTTCCATGTCACGTTATTCACCTATTATTATTCACGTTATTCCTCACATCATATTAATAAATCATTTTGAATTCATATATGTATATTTATGTGAAGCTAGCTGTACTCTGCAACGCTTCGCTGTAGTACATACTCATTGAATGTATGAAAAATTAATCATGGGATATCTTTTTATCATAATTTTATTTACTCAATTTACTTGTGGGTATACAACATTTTTGGTTTTACCATTGACATTGATCCACTTCACGGAGGGAAAAGTAATTTTCCTGCTCATCTAAGCACAAAGCCACCTATACTCTAAATTTCAAGTAAATCGAACGATAACTACAAATTCTTCGAATAGGGCAGTCTTGGTCCACTTCCCCGGTATACGATTAGTCTTTCTATACCGAATTTCAAGTGAATCCAACCAAATTAAAGAGAAGTCTTTCTGTTAATAATCTAAGCAAAATGCTGCGTATGTACGAATTTAATGTAAATTGAACCATAAGTAATATTTTTTTTTCAAATACGTCATTCCCTGGGCCGTTTCACGGAGAGAAGAGTAGTTGTTTAAGCGTCTGCTTAAACAGCGATTTTAAAATAAATAAATGTAACTGCCGTGCGCGTGGAATTGCCCGTCTCTTCCCACTATTTCCGTGTGCCCCATCACGCGCCAATTCCTCTATCCTTTTTGGCCTAATTTCGTTAGCCGATCGACCGCTTAGCGGCGGCCGTTCGAGCTAACGAAAAAACACTCTAAGTCTAACAACCCTCGCTCGCGCACGGCAGCCTTCAACCGCGGTCTCTTACATTAAATAATTTAGCAAAAATAGTTTAAATTAAATACTTTGTAAAAGTAAATTTGTGAAAATAAATTAAGTGAATTTCCTTTTATTAAATTTGTGAAGCAATTTTAAAATTGAAAAAAGTGTTTATTTATTTAAACTGTGGGCCCGCTCGACAGCCGGCATCCCCTTACTTACCCTCAAGTCCTTGTGGACTTGATCAGTAGTCATTCTATTAATCTAAGCAAAAAGTCTTTTATGTAATTTCAAGTAAAACGAATCGTAAATAATATTTTTTTGAATACGTCAGTCCCTGGTCTACTTTGCGGAGAGAAGTGTAGCCTTCCTGTTAATCCAAGCGAAACTTACCTATTCTCAGAAATTCAATTTCATCGAGCAATAACTACAATTTCCTCTAAAAGGCCAGTCTCTGGCCCACTTCCCGGAGAGAAAAAGAGTACTGTTAATCTGAGCAAAAACTCACCCATGCACTAAATATCAAGTTAATCTAAGCAAAAAGCTTAAGTAAATCGAATCACAAATAAGATTTTTTTGATTAGGTCAGTCCCTAGTCCACTTCCCAGGTATCATAAAAATAATCTGACGAAATTTCAAGTCAATCAATCGGCAACTAATGGAGATTACTGGACTTAGATTTTTATATACAAGATTATATATGAAGGAAAAGTAATAATATTAGGATGATGAAGTGAGAGCTCAAGATTTGCGAGAGAGTGAAAGAGAGATTTTAACGGAGCCCAAGGAAAGAAGTTAAGATGGGTTATGACCGGAACAAAGAAAATTATTTGACCAGTATTATTATTATACAAACTTGACTGATGTTATGAATAATTCACCACAAATTGTAGTGCTCGACCGAAAATCGCTTCAATGGTTACAAAACGGCAATGATATTTTTCTCACAAATGAAGGGACCTAAGGTTTATTCTAATTTTTTATAATTTTAGATGATGTTTTTCGAATCAGGAACCAGTGAAAAGCAGAGTGAAATACATAGTGCATAGTAAAAAAATAATTAACCAACTTAGTTAATTTATTCATATTAGCGTTGCATTATATTTCAACAGTTTTCGACCTTCTGTAATGAATTCGTCCGCGAACAGTAAGACAAAAATACCAAGAAGCGAGAAGCTTTTGCAGAAGAGCCCGAAATGCGTAAGTATGTATTAGTATCAGCAATTAGAAAACTTAAAAATTATATACGTTGACTAACAATTTGTAAACAGCAAGAAATCGTAGAGTACCTCCAAAACATTTTTTTAGAAATGGTATTCGCTGGTAGCCGCTTCCGGCAGGCAATTATTTTGAATGAATTATTTTTAATTTATTATTATTATTTTTTCAATAAAAAAAAACACCCAATATATACCCAATGAGTTAGTGCACCCAATTAATTTTCTGCCAAATTGTGTTCTGAACTAATAAAGTTATGAGGAAACCATTAAATTATCAAACTAGCTTATTCTAATGGTTTAGTATTTTTTTACATTCAAATGAAATTTTCATAATGCGTAGGAACGGAATCTTAAATTTATTAAGCTTTCATCCATTTCAACTATAATTACATAAACAAAGCCCTCGCCAATCAAATATAATAAAATCAGACTTCATATATTAAACTTAGATTTGCTAGAAGAGTAGTGTAGGGAGCATACTGTTATTTAATGTTTGGAAATTGTTTAAATTTATCGTTGTTTTTACTTTCAGTTTGTTTGAACATTAACAAATGTATCTATGTACACTTCCCTCTTGTATTATAAAAAAACAAAAAAGTTTTTAAAAAAGTCAGTCAGGCCGATATGGTCAGAGATTAATCACTTTTTTTGCCAGGGAAACGTGATTAAGAAGTAAATTTTGAGTCGGCTATAGACAAATATAGATGGATGAAAAGCTCTACTCCACCAAAACTAAAAACAGAATTCTGATTGAAGTCTTAGACAAAAGTCAAGATTTTAGAGCGATCCCAAGGTATCAGTGAAGCTGATTGATGGCTGCCTTAGCTAACGAAATATAGTATTAGAGGACAAGCTGAAGAACCCCTGCTTGAAAAAGAACACCAGTTCATTTCAGGGCAATTTAAGAATGTCGCAAGTAATGACGAGAGCTGTACAAGGCTGCCGTACTCGCTAAAGACAAAACCGATTATTCGATCTACTCAGGTTTATTTTCTTTCCAGGACCTGCTAACGTTCTATTTGGTAAAAAAAGGTGTTTTCAAAACTACGTTATCTGTTATACCAAACATTTTTTGTTTTAGTTAAAACTATGGCATTTATGAAAATAGATCGCCTAACAACCGCTACGCAACACGCTAAAATTGTTAAAACTTACCAAAGAAATGGTGATTCAAATTTTTGGCGATTTTTCGAACGATATTTCCTCCAGCGACAAGGCACACTGCTCTCTTAGGGGATACGTAAATACGCAAAATTGTCAATTCGGAGCGTTTTGGTTATATGATAATAGCTTTTTTAATGGCCGCAATGGTGCCACATGCCACACAATATGAACGAACATGGCATTATTTGGAGAAATTACACGGTTGCGTAATCATAAACATTTAACTCTTGAGCACTTGAAAAACAACATTCGTTAAATTATGGCTGAGAAATTTGAGAGGCGGTCATTTGAATAATGTAGTATTTCATATATAATGCCAAAAATCGTTTTAAATTTATTTTATTTACGTTTATTTTCAAAACCGCAAAGTGCATTACCCTGTAATGTACGAGTCTCAATGCATTTAATGGTATGTTTTATATGTATATTATTTGACGATTAAAAGGTACAACAAGTGTTTAATAAAAACATTTTAAAATTAATTTTTTAAATATAATTTCATTTCTAGTATATTCGATCTTCTATCACTAACATACTCTCTATTTTTGAACACCAATGATATAAAATGAATATAGCACATTTATTTATTTATTATATACAATCGGCGCAGTAATCGCTAAAGCGATTTCGACCTAGCTTTACACATATAGAGAATACCTTATTTCCGCAAGGAAATAATTACGCTTTGTAACCGCTAAAACCATTTTTGGCCAAGCTACTCCCCAATTTATGGTGTGCGTCTTAATTTTTTCCAATAAATTAATACACCTACAATTTATACTAAACCGCCTTCCCACGGCTGTTAGATTGTTACGAGCAGCTTTTTTATTTTCTGTCAGATGTACTGCCGAGGGGCACCGTAATTAGAAAATTTAACTTCATTTTTTCTTTAAATTAGTTTTCTTTAAATTAATTTTTGGATGCTGGTCGGACTTCCGAATGCCAGTACGCAATGGCAACCACTCAGCTATCGCTGAAACTTAATTATGACTTTTCTTTATTCTTTACGTGTCAAAATGTATAAAGCCAACTTAATGATTATTTATTGACTTTTAAAATTTTTCTTAGTTGATAATTATTTTTCGAGGTTGACTTAAACGCTGAGTTAATATACATTATTATTGTTAGAAAAATTATTATTGAATTAAATTCCACTAATATTGTATTTGTAGATTAAAATTTTTAATTTCAAGAGATATTCACCTTTTCCATTAATATATCTTTCTCGATGTTTTCCTAGAAAATTAGTGATTACAACTTTTATTGCAATTCATGCAATTAATTCATTTTGATCAAAAGAGGTATTAGACATCGCCATCATTCATCAATCTTCTAATATCTGAAACATTAACTTATATGTGACCCCGACCCAAAAACCAGTACCATACCACAAATTTCCAGAAGAATTCCAGTAGTGCATGGAATTTTATTACAATTTTTCTATATACAAGCTGCATAAATACGAGTAGAAAACAGATCTATAAGGCAACTATACGGGTTTGAGAGGAATAAACCGTCGTTACGTAAAATCTCGTTGCTCTGCGCAAATTTCAGTGTTAAAACTCCCTCGTTTGCATAACATCAAATTTCACTTTAAGAGCGATTAGTTGTGAATTGTTCCCTAACATCTGCATATATTTATTTTTTACTGAGTTATTTTTCTGATATTTCTATTTGCATCTATTTTGTTTTTAGGTTTTAAGCTTAGATGGAAATGGTTTTCAACATTCGCACATGAAATAATTAGATTAAAGATTGGTAAAAAAAAAACTTACGTTATAGAAACTATGAAAGAGGCGCACCTTGCCATCACCTAAGGACACCATGGTAATGCCCATGTCGTAAATAGCTCGTAAATGATCTGCATTGCTAGCTTGAAAATCCAAAGCTCTAAGTCGCTTTCCAGTGGGTATTCGCGGGCAAGAACCCGTAATAAAGTTCCGCAGTGGCTTTCGTACTCTTTCCGGAAAGAATCTATTAGAGTTTGGACACGTTCGCATAAAATCCAGCATGTTATGTTCATCGCTTCGGGTAAAGCCTGTAATTTATTATGTTAAATGGAAATAATAACTTTGAGTTATATAATTATACTGAAAGTTGTGTTTCCCAACTGTGCGATCGTTAATGGGAACAAATGTGCCTCCGTAGTAAAAATGAACTCGTCGACATCAACGACTAAATCGCGTGGATCCGAAAATAATAGATATAAATATTTAAAAGTTTCTGATAATACAAAGGAGTCCATCCGATCTTCATGTTTTCCGGTGCGAACATCGTTTACAGCTGCATATCCACAAGGAACTTTCGCATATTTTTGAAGCGTTTTTAACGCCTTCTTCCCTACTTGTAGGTAATGGTGATCACCGGTAGCGCGATAAAGAAAGTAAGTAGATTCAATAAATTCAGGTCGAAGATGATGTTGGCCCCAGTGAATTTGAAAATCAACAGTAAACGCTTCTGGAATGAATGTGTGCATTTGCATTACTTGATAAAGCATTTCATGGGTTTGTACAGCTGGTTTAATGTCCCCCGATAAAACTTGCAAGCCTGGCCAAAATGCTAGGAGGGAATCCATGAAATTACGTGATTTAGCGTGGGGTCTGTGCATGAGTACGTCCAAAAGCATTGGACCTTCACTAACATATTTCATTACAGCATTGTAGTGGCGATTGAAGCGAGCCAAGTACTTATCATCGCCCAAGAGAACGTAAGATTTAAATAAGTACTCATAATATGAATCAATACCGGCGCCAACACCTGAGTCACGACGGACCCAATCTCCTGAATGTACATTAAGTACAGTACCCATCAGATCGGAGCTTCTATGTCGCAGTTTCCAAAGCGCATCCATAGCTGTGTGTGCACGTGCTTCAAATACAGGATCACCTGTAAGTGAGTAAATTAAATACAAGTATAAAAATTAAGAAATTGAAAAATGGAAATGTGTTTTTCTTTAACTTTTTAAGGTTTTAGGTAGCAACAAATCGTACTAGCTAATATTAGTTCTGTTCAATTTTTACTAAACCGAGTTCGGTAGGGCAAAAATCCAGCAAAATTTGCAACGAGGGAGCACAACTTTAAGTCTAGTTTTGGATGGGAAGTTGCAAATTCTTGCTGGGAAAATTTCAGCCAGCAATAATTAGTAGGCAAAATAACATATGATTTGGTTGCATATTTGTCAACAAAACAAAAATTCTGTAAAATGAAAATAAGCTTAATACTTTTAATATAATATAAATGATGTACCATTAAAAGCAGTGATCAATTGATTTAATTGAATTAAGGCATAAAATTAAATTAAATTGAATTCTAATTTTTTGTACATTGTACATAGACTTTAGAATCCTTTACTTTACTAGAAGCAGTGTTTTTTAAAATACTGAAAACAATCAGTCCTACTCTGCGTTTCGTTACATTTCGATCAATCTTTGAAACCTACGATTCAAATTGAGTTGGTGCAGAACCCTCATTAAGCACCATCTAATTCAAAATATTAAGTTCTTTATTATATTATTGATATCACTACTTATTTGTATATGTGGGCCGAAAATGTCAATATTAATGCTTCGAAGTAAGCCAAATGAACCGTTCGGATCCATGCTTATTCACCCTCAAGTAAAACGTATAAAAATATCTTGTAACCCGCAACCGCTGTATAATAACAATGCGAAGTGAATATACTTACGCATGATCTATGCTTATATCCAAATCAAACTAATTTTTGTCAATCTGTCGGTGATCCCTTTTCCGTAAAGAAAGTATTTTTGTTTCGAGCAAATCGAACTTGGTTCCAGGACACTGATTGATTTCCAGGAAACAAAAGTATTCCATTTAGGCATTTCATCCAAAACTTCAACCAAACCGAATCGTTAATATGGTTATATAATTGACACTTTGCAACCGCTGAAGAGATTTTCGACCGAGTTCCTCCTCCAAGCAACATCTCTTTATTTTCGTCCTGGGTGTTGCTGGTTGCCGACTACGTTGTTTTTGTTGTAGCGGTTTCCCGACCCCGCTTAGGAGCAGGCGGGATTAGTCTAATGCATCGAGGTAATCTAACGGGAGGATCAGAAATCAAGCTGTTTCGAGGGTTCGAGCCACACGGAAAGGGTAATTATATGAGTAATTTTTAAGGGGTATGCAAAGGGGTGGTTAGTGTATTGAACCTACGTTGGGTATGTCGTATGTCGTGTGAAGTCTGGATAAGTAGGAATTCAGTCGACTGTAATATCCACACCTTAATTGTTCGGTATTTCTCGGCGGCCGCGGTAGCCGAGTGGTAGACATTACGTGCTGCCATTCAAAAAGACCTGGTTCAAATTCCGGTGCGACCAACATCCAAAAGTTATAGAAAATAATTTTAAATAAAAGATAAAAAATAAAAGATAAATTTATTAATTGCGGCAGGGAATATCAACCCAACCGAGTGTATTTCTGACATGAAATAACAAAAGGATTCTCATAAAAACTATAAGCCGTTCGGAGGCGGCTTAGTATAAGCTTAAAGTAAAAACACATAAAGACGCAAAAACCACAAATTGTAGGATGAAAATTACTTCCGTCAGTTATATATATATATATTTTTCGGGTCTCTCGAGACGGTTCGAGCTCTTCGCCAGCAATATTTGGTAATTAATTAAGAAGTTGACGGACTCTGGATGAACTTTGTTTAAAATATGTCAGTACGTCGTCTTGTCCGGTTCTTGTCTATGGTGCAGAATGGAATTTGTATTTATTAGTACTAGCTTCCTGATATGAATAGGTGGAGGTTCAGTTTTAAGTAAATGTCTCTTGGGGTGTTTCTGACGGTAGAGTCCCACCAAATATAGCTTTTAAATCATAACATTAAGCTCCTTAAGTTATACTCCAGAGTCATGTGGTAGGCAGGTATGGTATGTAGCTTCTTTATCTGCGTCTCGGTAGTCCCCGGCGTCCAAATCGAAGCAGCGTATTTTACGACCGTCCCGCCAATTGCATGGTTTGTTGTCAGCAAAGTTTCTTTATCTTTTCTCGAAGCGGCGGTTACCGATTTGAGGATTTAGTTGCGGCTCTGTACTTTTGTGGCAATTGCAACTTTGGGTTGTTAGTTGTCGGAATTTTTACGCCAACGACTTTCCCATCGATTTCATCTAGCTGCTGAAAAAGGTAGCCGAGGACTTCACAGGGTTTAGCTTTGATTGATAGAAGCCTACTTTCGAACATAAGTGTCAGTGAAACGTACTCTGTTGGGAAAGGGAGCTTTGCAATGTAATGTAAACATAAGCGGTAAGAGGTTGGAAGTCTTACCGCCAAACTCTACCGATGACTTGCGACCATCTTCCACCCCTGAGGTAATAAGGAATCCTAAATGCCCGATCTTAATACTGAATGGTTGTGAGTGGCAAAGGTTTTTGACAGATTCAGTGCTACTAGGACGGTTCGCGCGCAGAGCCGGTTTTGGAAGCCATAGTGATGTGCAGCTTGTTTGATTTTGTTTAGATTTGGTTGATATCTGCCTATATTGTCGTCTAAGCTTTGCGGGTAGGAGGGAGAAGATGTCAGATAGGAATAAATTAGAGGTGGTGTGGGTTGACCTTCCCTCCTTTTACTTTATATATTTATTCGGTGGACATCGGGTGTGAGCTCTGGGTGAGAAATTTGGTTTTGGCTCTTCAAAAATTGTAGAGCGATGGATGGTTCAAGTTGTTTTGCAAGTAAAGCTTAGAAATAACGTTATTAGCCGCTCCTGGTGCTGGCAAACATTTAAACAAGCAATATTATAAGCCTTTGCGTGTTTAATAGTCACCCCGAATTTAGCATCTAATAGACACTTTAATTTAATTGCTTCACTGTCCACTTGAGAACTGCTTTTATGCATATAAGCATGCATGAATATGTACATCCAATGGCAGAAAGCAAAGAGCTAATGCCTAAAAGTATGGTGGGGAGAATGAGGGTAGGATGGTGCATACTTAAATAATTGTGTTGTAACAGAAAATATGTTGCCATCTGATTGAATTAATTTTAAATGAATAAATAAAATTAGTATTTTCTGCCTTGAACTATCTGATAGAAGGGAATAAAGATACAATCAAAGTACCACTTACCAGATAAACGTGATAAAGTTGCGAATTCTAACAAAATAGTGCCCGCACAAGCCGTACATGTTTCTCTTGATTTTTTTAATTCATCATCTTTCATGCCGTGGCGTAGATTAACACGAGCATGCGGTATACCTGTAGATGTGTTGAATGCTGGCAACAACCGATATCCAAGATCACGAGCCATCTCCAACATTTCTCCGTTATACCAAAGCATAATCCCACGATTTTTTTGAATATGCTCGGTTAACACATGTGCTGAAAGTAACCCACCAACCATACGTATGTTTGTTTCGAAAACGGAAACTATTATATCACTGTCGAACTGAACGTTTTGTATAACCAAACGTACGGCACGTTCGAATTCATCAAAATCTCCAAGTAGCACTAATGTGTCCATTGAATCAACTAAGGTCATGGAAAAGCTGAAAATGTATGAAATATTTTATTAACCAAAGCTTTAAATTAATTTAACAAACTGCCTATTTCTATATATGTACAAATTAATAATAATTTCATGTAATTGAAAAATTTTGAGCAATAAATATTGATATAAATTTGTTTATTTAATTGTCTGTTAGTAAAGATGGACTAAAAAGAATAAAGTTTACTGGAAATTTTTTGTGTATGATAGTCAGTTCAAAAAACTTTAATTACTTTTCTAAAGTCTATTACTATTTCTGGTTCATTTTGACGTTTGCTTCGTGTTTGATCCTGTGTTTATGCCATGTATATAAATATAACCATGATTAGAATTTAACTAGATCTTTGAATTATAAACTTAACATTCGCACAATCTTTTGTAATAATATACAAGGTAAAACTTAAAAAAATATCGATAAGAAAAGTTGCAACGTAAATTTGACAAATAAACTTGGGTCTTTCATTGTTGGAGCCAAGGCGAATTCAGTGTAACTATTGCCAAAATCATTGCAACTTCGTAGAATTAGCCTTTGTCAAACTGAACTAATGATCCAAAACAACAAAAAGAGGGAAAACATAAAATAAAATTGATACCTTGAAAATTGAAAAAGTATGTTAATTTAAATGGCATTAACGGTAAAGTAGCTTCTACCTTCATCTTGTGGAGCTTGAAAATATTATCCAACCCCTCGTCTTACATTTTTCACACATAACACACGGATTGCCTCGGCAATATCTTCAAGCAAAAATCCCAAGCAGGTATGAATTAGGAAAAAAGCAAATGCCCTCGATCTAGGAGCCCCTCCGATCCTTACAATTGTCTCAAAGTTCTATGGAAAAGCGAGCTCTCAATACATGAGTATGAGATTCCCAGACCATCAACCCTCTACAGTGTAACCGTATCACATCAAAAGTGGCTATATTTTGCAGACGAAATCTGAAAAATTCTAGACTAAAGCAACATTGTCGTGGTCTGGGTATCTGGACATCCCAAGCAATTGCACGACATAAAATAATAATAAAAATAAAATAAATCTTGTGCACGAAGCAGGTTTACTTTAGCCGCCGCAAAGTACATATAAGGTGTAGTAAATAGAAGTCCATTATTCTTGCGTGAACGGGAAAGAGAAATTTTTACTTTTTCGTATCCAGTCTTATTCAAATGGGTTCAAACGGTTTTTTGTGCAATCTTTAGCTCTTGGGCAGTCGAAACAGTGCTGACATGACGGTCGAACTCGACAATGTCCATGATTTTTCGACATTTTCGACAATTGGCCTCCTACTCCGTGAAGCAGCTTTTATCTTTTACATTACAATTACCAGAATGTCACCGAAAATGTGCATGATTGACTGTAACAGTATCCGGACCGTAAACGCTAGTCACGCCGTCTGGCTTGCGTTTTCGCCCTTATCGAAGAAAAACTGTAAGATTTAGCATATTTTCTCTTTGCTAGAGTCCATTTTGACGCACACTCAAAAAAAACTGAATCCGATTGGACTTATACAATGCGAAATACAGATAAATAACGCCATCTATTGGAAAATTATGGATTCCTTTTCATCACACCTAATATATGCTCAGATTGGTCTTTGCCAAAGAAACAGACTCTAGATGGCTGAATGAAATCACATGTAAAGCGAAAAAAATCTGAGATCGGTTCTCCATTAACATAACGACGAATGTAATAACAGGTCACTGTCCAATTGGGCTTCTTGGAAAGATGGGCTATCAGTGTAATGATTTTTGCCGCAGAGAAAGAGTCTACAAAACACTATCACTTCTTTTATTGTCTCGTTGAGCTAGCTTCAGCAAAACTTGGTGATTTCTTTGCGCGACACACAAAATGGTTCGAACATTTGATAAGTTGAAGAAAAGAGCCTCATAGCGGTATCGAGTTGGGCATATTGGCGTTGGTTACTGATTAAAAGCCGCATCAACTCAACTTAGCTCCTCACCGTCTCATAATTTTTTTTTCAATAGAAAAGTTACAAGTCAGCGATCAAATTCCGTGTGTTTTTGCCGACATGAAACATAAGCTATCATAAAAATCCAACGACCGTTCGGATGCGACTGAGAATAAACTGTAGGTCCCTCCATTTGCTGTAAAAACATCAAGAGGCATACACAAATTGGAGGAGCTCGGCCGAAAATCGTTTCAGCAGTTATAAAGTGTCAATTATATATACAGTTGCTGCCAAAATCTTAGTAGTGATTTTGCTAATTGAGTATAACTCATCATAAATTTATATTTCAGACTTTTTTTTCGCTTTCACTATAAATACCGTCAGGTTAAGGCGCCGACATGACGATATTCATTGGTTTGTTAAGCTAGCACTATTGTTGTTATTGCAATCGGCTAAGTTTTAAGGAAAAATGTATTCTTGATCAGTCAAATTCTTAGTAACGCAATCATAGAATAGTTCAAAAACATTAAATTCTTTTTGTTTTTGGGACTAAAAAATTAAGGAAACGGTAAGAACTATTTCTGTTATCGGTATTCTGTTTTATAATGTGGAAATTTTGATTATGCTGCATGTAGTGATGTCAAGAAAAAAGAATTGTATACCGGAGATGGAGATACAGGCTCTTATTAAAAAGCTGATTGGCGAGAGAAAAACCTACAGAGAAGTACAAGACATCACGCTATAAAATACAAACCGGGTGTCGAAAAACGCGGAAACGAGTAATGCCCACTCAATCGGTTAAGTCTGCTGTAAAATATTCAAAGCAATATCCGTTTGCGGCTGCCACCGAAATAAAAAAAAACTATAAATAAGAGTCAGCGTTGAAACTCTCCGCCGACGCTTACGGGAAAACGATCTGTAAGCTCAGAGTCCTAGAAAGGTGCCTTTGCTGACTAACAACACGTGGTCAAACGACCATTTGACTTGGCCTTTGACCAAACGGCATAACATTTTATGGTATGTTCGCAGTTCAAGGTTCAAGGCAGTTTGTAAGACGTACACCCAACAGCGCACTTAATCCAAAATATAACACTAAAACGGTAAAACATGGTTTATCCAACATTTTGGTTTGGGCATGCTTTTCGTGGTACGGAGTTGGACCCATGCTAGCGAGGAAATGTCACTGATTTGGACCTTTCAACAGGACAATGATCCGAGGCATACTAGCAAGCTTGCAAAAAAGTTGTTTGGAGACAACGGAGTAAATGTTATAGAATGGCCTCCACAGTCTTCTGACATTAACCCGATAGAAAATTTGTGAGCTGATGTAAAGAAATTGGTGCCTGAGTGTTATCCTACAAATAATTTGCAATTATGAGAATCCGTAAAGATTGCTTGGAACTCGATTCCAGTTGAAAGGTGCCAAAATCTGATGAACTCAATGCAACGTCGCTGTGCCGCCATAGTTAATAATAATGGTTATACAACTAAATACTAAATTAATGTATAATAATTAGTTAATGAATAGCCGATGTAAAAATAAAAAACATTTAATTCAACCTAAATAAAAAGTGCTTTAAAATATACCCTATAATGTGTAACACTACTATGATTTTGACCGCTTAAAAGCTTAGATTTTCATAAAAAGTATTACTATTTTTGTTTTTTATTACCAAGTGACTCCAGTTTGTTTAATTAGATTTAATTAGCCTTTTAACTACTAAAAAATAAAAATTAAACTGGTTTTGGTAACCAACCACGTAATTTTTTTTCCAACTGAATTTGGTGCTTGTCCGCAGCTGGATAGAATCTTTGCAATTTGTGTGAAATTCTAATGGAGTTAGGCCTAGTGCCCTTCCTAAGATGCTGTTTTGAAATGTTTGGATTTTCTTGTTAACTGTTTTGGAGCAGTGTGCACTCTTCTTTTAGAATGCGCCAGCTTTGTGGGATTTGATTTATTAGAAATATATCAAGCAATTGCGTATATGCATTGCTTGAGCATTTTATCTTGTCGTGCCTTCGGGATGAGTTTTGGTTTTTGTTGTTGATTGTATATATGAGCTCATCATAATGACTATATCTTAGCGCATTTGAGGTTATGTGCTTTGTGATACTTACAGGGTTTTGTGATGGTGTGATTTGTTGTTATAATGTGTTTAAGATATTTTTTTATTAGTTTCACATAATACTATTTGGTTTCTATTGCCATAATCTCCTCTTAAACCTTTTACAATGTTCCATCCATTTCTGGTGGTGGATTTGCATTTATTTCTCAAATTATTTGATCAAATCTTTTTTGGCTTTTTGACCACTTGATTCAATTTTTTTCTACTCTTCGCAAATGAGTCGATATTTTCGGTTGAAGGAAAAGCATTGCATTTTTGCAACTTTGAGTAGTCGGAATGCTTTTGATTTTTCTTGCTGTTGATGTCGCACTTTCATCGTCATTTTTCATGAGCGTATGAAAAGTATTTAAAATTTGTTGGATATCAGTGCTTAATCAGTATTTGAGGAGCTTATTTGGGGCTATAGATTTATGTTTGTAATTTGTATGGATAGACTCACTATTATGATATGGAAGTAATGGCTTCCCCGAATTTCATTTCTAATTACATTAGATATTGCTGATACAACCTATCTAGTTAACACCGCTCAGCGATACAGTTTGTACCGTAGAAACTAGCATCGATTTGACTTTTACCATAAAATCGACTCTACTGATTTCTCTCTATTATAATAGATTGCCAGTAGAGGCATAAAAAAAATGGTCCACGTTTGAAATAGATTGATGGAATATAGGATCTATATCTCGCGTTCTATAAGTGCGATTGGATTACTTTATGGTTCTGATACTGTAACAGACACTCATGCAAAATTTTGATCCGTTACTTTTGATGTAAATGATGATAGACGGTATGGAAAGCCAATTGTCGAAATCGTCAAGTTTGACTTAAGTATTGCACAAGAAACAGTTTGGAAAAACAGTTGAGAATGGCTAGATTCACTAATAAGCTCGACGTATGGGAGAAAATTGCTTATTTATCGGAATTAAAAATCAATATCTATTTATATTGTTGCGAAAATGCGAGGCGAATGT